TCTCTCTCTCTCTCTCTCTCTCTCTCTCTCTCTCTCTCTCTCTCTCTCTCTCTCTCTCTGTGTGTGTGTGTGTGTGTGTGTGTGTGTGTGTGGTAGATTTTCACCACAACAGCCCCTGTTCCACCCAGATGTGTAAATTCAAAATCGAAGCAGCTTATACCTCCATTGCAGACAATAAAGCACACTTGAGATGAGCCAATTCAACAATGAAACAGTTGTACCTGGATAGCAGGCAAGATTGAGGAGAATCAATCCATTGTATCCCTTTCTTGACTACCTTTACTTTGGATTTCTTTTGGGTACCCCTTTTCTTTTAATTTGTTCTCGCAGCTCCCTTTTTACTGTGCCTCTCACGTACAAGGCTGGCCATGTTGTTTGTGGTTTAGCACCAGCTGCTCACATCCCCATGTGCCATGACGGCCCACTTGCACGTTATCATAGGAGGCAGCGTAAAAGGGCAGGTGTGAGGATTGGGGCCCATGGCTGTGCTTCTGAAAAGGCCGCACCCGCCCTAAGTGAAGGCGGGCCACCAAAAAATTTACCTTGGCCCGCGTAGAGGCCTATCTGAGCTGAAAATGGGGCCCTGCGGGAAGTTGCTTCACACAGCGTCTTCAACCAACCGGTAGCGCTCAACCCCCGGGTGGTTGAAGATGCTGAGGCCCAGGGCACAGATTCCGAGGCCCAGGGCTAAGGCAGTTCAGGCACATTCCGGAAGGGGCTCGGGGAGCAGATACTGGGACACGGCGCAGCCAGTCCAACCAGGCTGAATGGCTTGCAGCCAGCACAAAAGAGGTCGAGGCTGCCTGGCTGGATGCGGCAGTGCTGCTGGAGCGCTCGCTCGTGCGGATGAGCACCAGAAGAGAGAAGAGAAGGGCGCTGGTGGGGCGCGAGGAAGCTGCGGGCGCAGTGAGGCAGGGAGGTGCAGCAGCCATAGCCGGGCTGCTACTCGTTACCGCCGGACGAGGAAGGTGGTGGTCCTTGGGTAGAGGGGACTGTGGAGGAAGTCAGGGAGAGGCAGCGATGTGAGGAGGCACTAACCTGGTGAATAAGAAGGGGACCGTACATTGGGGATCTTCAGGCGTTCATCAGGCTGATGATCTTCAGAGCAGACCTGTTGGAAATAGTAGTCCAGGTCATAGGAGCTGTCTTTTTGTTAGTCTGGGCGCCGAGCGCCAATATAGAAGAGGTGCGTCGTTGACATTGGTGATGGGAGGCGAGAAGAGACTCAAGAGAGCTTTCATTATCATATGACTTCAATGCTTCGCTAATACTTATTTGGTGTTATCTCAGTTCGCAATCTGCTTTCAGTTCGCGCTCAAAGTTACCTGGATTTCTGTGGAATGCTGCAATTTGGCTTATTCTCATTCGCATTGCTCATTTCCTTGCAATTTGGTATCAGAGCTAATTCGTAGGCTTACGCCTTTCGGCTCCAGCGTTATTTGTTTCTTCGATGCATGTGGGTTGGGTTGGTCACCCGCAGTGTGAGTACGATCGTGGTGTGGGGAAGATAGTCGGTCCCCGGGTAGAGAGGGACAAGGCTGGAGGCTTGGAAAGTTATTGGATGCATGATTGGTGATGTGAGCGAGATGACGTGGCGTTTGCAACGCAGGCACTTGCATTTTATTGTCGGTGGTTCCAATGCTGCGACCGGTCAACAAAATGCACGTCGTCACAGCTGGTGAAAACTCTGTGGTTGGGGCCCATTATGAGGGGGCTCCATTATGAGGGGGCTCCATTATGAGGGGGCTCCATTATGAGGTACGTTGTCTCTGACCTTACCTACCGTCTTTTGTTGCTTCTTACGGTGAGGAAGTGATTCCAGCTTGAGAGTCGTCTCTTGGTGAGGGGAGGGGTGAGAGAGCGCTCTATCTTGAGTGTCGACATTCTTGTCTGGCTCATCTATAAATAAAGTTTGGTCAGGGCTGGCCGGTCATAGTCTGCTTGGGCACAGAGATGGGCCATGGTCACGGTAAGTCACTGCTGCTGTTCGATTTTTGTGTCTGAAGATGTTGATAGGAACAACGATCGAGGGGATGCAGAAAGGGGTAGATTCCAGCTGAAAATTCGTTAACTTGGAACTAGAGCTCAAGTATTCATCGCGGGAAGGGATCTGGGTAAACGTTTAAGTGTGAAACCAGACAAAATTCCGCTTGCCGCATGGCCCTTATGGGCTGGGCTACACACGTGCTACAATGGCAATGACAATAGGAAGCAAGGCTTTAAGACGGAGCGAATCCTGAAACGTTGCCTCAGTTCGGATTGTTCTCTGCAACTTGAGAACATAATTACTGTATATTTGCTGTCTTTTGTGCATCCGTTGTATCAGATGGTCTCATTTCTGTTTGATTAGTTAGTATCGACAGACCGCTGACCCATGATTGGAGGTGAAAGGTAGGAACAAATGTCTACTTGTCTGTGTTCTTTCCGGGGTTTCCACATTGTCTATTTTTAGAGATGATCAAGTAGTAAGTATCATCTGTTGGGTCTGTGTAAATGTGCTGTTACAGTCTGACGGCTTCCTGAGTCCACTCGTCTGGGGCTGGCGACCGGCCAGTTGAGCTGGGCCAGTCCAACCGGGGCCGATCCGGTGGAGGGGGCTCAACAGGAAAACCAGTTGAGGGAGCTTAAGCGGAATACCGGTTGAGCACAAATTTTGCTGATCTTTTTTTTTTTTTTTTTTTTTTTTTTT